TTTGATTTTTTTAAATCGATTCGGTAGACTGAGCTTAAATGTGGACGAAAAGTTTAACACTCTTTTTCAAATTACAAAGAAACGGCTCGGCTGATCGTCTCACAAAATTGACAAACTATAGTGCTCATTGAGACACATCGAATGGCTTTTAAATTTCTGAAATCGGTTCAGGCGTTTTTGAGCAAACGTCGATGAAAGGTCTAATTTTGACAAATGCCAAAAAAACGATACCAATTTTTGCAAACTTTGACGAATTTTTAAAGTTAAACGAGTTGTCATAGGGCGGTAATATTTTAGTATGATTTAGAAGACTATGATATCTAACGTCAAAAAAAAAGAGATATATCGAATGGTTTTTAAATTTTTGAAATCGGTTGCACCGTTTTTGAGAAAACGTTGATTTACGGCAAAAATCTGTTCACATACACGCACACACACACACGCACACACACACACGCACACACATACTTTTTCCAAATTTGGGCTCATTCGATTCAGAATGGTTTGAAACGTCGAGGAAACATAAAATTAGCAAATCGGATTTTATGATGAAAACATAAATTTCTCCTTCGGGAAGTTAAAAACAGTATTTACTCCAATAAAATTTTGCTACTTCTCCATAACAAATGAATTCGTCAAACACAGTTAACTGGTTAATTGCTTTTCTAACAAAAATGATAAATCCTGTACGTACGTGCGTACTGTACTATTTTTTAAATCTACAAATATGCTTAAAATGATCCCCAAAATTAATTTTAAAAAGTAGCAGATTCCAAGTACCCGATTTCAAATCCGGCTTAAAAGATTATCCTTTCGGAAAGGGTACGCGTAAGAATCTTAATCCGCCACTTTGCAAGGTATTAACATATTTTAAAAAAGTAGCCTCAGGTTCGCAAATTTTTGTTACAACTAATTTAATCTATTCCTACAATCTATTACAATAATCTTCTTTCATTTCGTGACACTTGCAGTTATTTTAAGATGCGAGAGCGGTTGTCCAATGAATTTCATAATGTTTCATTTTAAAATTTCGGCTCCAAAAAATAAAACAAGTCACACATCCGTTCGATGACGTTATGCGATGTTGTAAAGAATATCAAATGCTTGCGAGCTCTGGGTCGCTGAAAAATCTTATCATTAATTTGTTTGACAAAATATTTGCTTCGGTACGTTAGATTGCCACGGTGATAAAGGATACTTAAATTGAATTATTAATAACTGTTGGGGGGTATGCAACTTTGTAAAAGAGGATAACATAAAAAGAGATCAATATCATGAAGATAATTTTTAGGTTTTGGATTGAGGAATCCTAAAATGTATTCATTATATCAGATTTTAAGGGTTCCATAAACTATTGTGATGAACATCCCAAACAGTTGTACAATCTCGGATGGATGAATTTTTAACTTCCCGTAGAGTAAGTTATTGTAATGGGCCGAAAATCGAAATTGAAAATTTTTGCATTTCTCGACGTTTTGAAGGTTGATGAACATTTTGGCAAACCTCAGAAAAAATGTACGTGTGTGTGTGTATGTTTGTATGGATACAAATTTCCAGTCACGTTTTCGGGCGCACGGATCAACCGATTTGAATGGTTCAAAAAACATTCGATTTCTACTGAGCTGATTAGTTTTTGGCAAAGGCAAGTCCAGCAGTTACGGAGATAAAGAGCAAAGAGTGCAGAAAATAGAAATCGAGTTTTTGATAGAACGGATCATCCGATTTGAATTATCTAAAAAAACATTCAATTAGTAATGATTGGGAGAAGTGTTTATTAGTTTTTGGCAAAGGCAGGCCCAGCCATTTCGATGATACGGGCTAAATGTGTGAAAAATGGCAGTTTTTGAGAGAACTAAGCGTCCGATTTAAATGATTCAAAGAACTTTATGCTTGTCTTAATTTGCCTTAAGGCACGATGCCATACACCCCACTAGTTATATCAGATTTTAAGGGTCCCATAAACCATTGTGATGAACAACCCAAACAGTTGTTCAATCTTGGATGTGATGAATTTTTATTATTACAATTTCAATAAGAGTGATGATTTTTGCTGGGTAAGGGCAATTTTTACTTGTAATTACTATATATAGTTTGAAGTGAAAATCTATGTTAGGTCTGTTTGACATCAAAGTGTTCAAGAGGGAACCTGAGACTTGGACTTTTGATTGAAATTCCATAGATTTAGACATTAGGCAAACCAATTAGTATAATTTCCCCAATAACAGAGAGAAGTATAAAATTTATTATTACTTCGTTACTTGATTGTTAGTACAAACCGATGTTCTTGAAAATCATATGGTGTGGTCGTCAATAAAGTCTATTAAATTCTATAGATCCTTTTTTTCAATAATTTTTAATTAATTAATAAATCGTCCTTAGCTCGGCGCTAACAACAAATGTTTGCGATATGAATAGAATGCCTGAGAAATAAATGTTTTAGTCGCTTTGTGCATTATTCCTGCCTTTGGGGCGCTTTGTCTTTCATGTCCATTGTCAGAGGATCTGCCGGCCGGATCATTTCTGCGTAAAGCTGTCGGAATCTAATCATTTTGCGCGGATATGTGCAATCAGGCGCGTCCCACGCCGCAAACAGCTTTTGTGATCTCTTATATTTATACATTTTTGTTTTCGCTTAATTGCATTTTTTCAAGATGCAGCGGAACGAATCGTGCAATCATTGACTGAACATATTTTATAATTATTTGTATAATCGATAATGGGAATAACTTTAGTCGCACGAGGTAGAGGAATTTTATTGAAACATGCTTGAGCGTACATTTCTCTAAAAACAATTCTTTTTATGATTTATTATTCTTTTGTTGTGATATCATTTAACCAGTAAACTTTGGTGCTCGAACACCGCGCCCTGTTTTGTGCCGTCCGACTCAAGCTCATGAGAAGTATATTCGTCAATCACATAGTAAGATGAAAATCTGATGAAAAAAAGGGTTTAATTTACAAAATTTTAGGTGAAAATCTACCAAGCCGTTTTCTTGCAACTGTGTTGAAAAAAAAATCAAGCCTATTTTTATGAACTTTTTTGGCTATATATATCATGGTCTTATAGAAACTACTGAAATATTACGGCCTTACGACAAGTAGTTTAATTTAAAAAATTCATCATTCAAAATGAGTAGTTTTGATGTTCATTAAAATTGAAATTAGACGATTTACTTGGTATAACGATAGAGTACTTGGTCTTAATGAACATACTAAACCATTATAAAGTCCTACGGAAACTGGTTCAATTATAAAAATTATTGATTTGTGAAAATTTGCTTTTAGAAAATACTCCGAGTTAACGTGTTCATTCGTTTTCAAATATGTGTAATAAATCCACTCGGAATACTTTTAATCACTTATAAATTAATTTATTTTTTATTGATTAAATCGATTATTTATACATATCGGGAAGTTTATGTAACTTGCCTCAAGCCAAAATACTAATACAAAATAGTTTTCTCATTATTTTTGGTCGCTGTTTTATGAGTATGACAAGTATACTCGTCAATACACAAAATTTTGCCACTTGTCCTTTACCAGTGTATTTGTTATTAACAGTCAACTGGTTGAAAGTCATTTAATTATTTTGACGTGAAAGGGGAAAGTTTAAAAAAAACTTCGGTTAGCGATTTTAACAAATTAGTCTCTTATCAATTAATTTTCTAGACTTATTACATGAAATAATTTTACATAATTTACAACAGCTGATACATCTAAAACTGTTGCGTTTCATATTATTTGGAAGCTGATAACAGCAATCAGCAAAATATAACACACTTTTACCAAAGATAACATAATTAAACGATAACACTGTTTTTCAATTAAAGAATTCGATATAAAACACTTCTTCTTCAAAGATTTACATTCGTTCGGCAAAGTCCAGAATGGATTTGGGTGATCGGGACACTGCTAATATAATCAAATAAAATCAATAAACATATAAGTCTGGGTAATTAATGTTTTAATTATGTTTATATCAATGTAGACGTTTTATATGATGCTTGTATATACAATGGAATATTACCAAGGTTATCGTAGCCGGTTACAAAATTGGTAAAAATTCATTCAGTCCCAAAAGAACGTGATGAGTACAACTTGCACCAGAAAAATCAAGTTTTGACGACATAAAGATTAAAAAATCTCCGGGCATATGTTATGAATTAAACATATCAGTGATTTTGTAACATGGGAAAACAAATTCTGATGCTTATACATATGTAAGAGTTTTCTTTTCAATGGTGTCATGAGTCCGGTTCATGATCATTGAATCAAGGGTATCAGTGAAAACAAAATATTGGTTCGTCAGCTGACGACGAATCTCAGTCTAAATATATAACATTCGTTCGACATATCAGTTTGTGGACAAAGTCGTCTAAAGTTTATCGCAATGCTCGTACCGACTTCCTATGATTACAGCCAGGCTGTTCGAATTCATTCATTAATGGGAAATTTCGATTGAGATAATAGGGATATGTAAAAAGTATTGAAAGTACTATTATTGTAATGATTATCCATAGCTATATCAAATAATTTATAAAATCAAAATGCTGTTAAAAATGTTGAAAGTCATGGTGTGACCCAATTTTCAAAAGAATATATTTCTTGAGATAATCAGTTTAAATCAATCAAACCGTTTCTAATTAGTTTGTATGAAATTTGTTTAAACGGTTTTATATAATTTGGTTTCATCAAAAAATTTTATTCCTACAAAATTGTTGTGTACAGTGTTAGCAGTTGAAATGATTTTGTGACCCATTTTCTGAAGAAAGAATCAGTTCTATGTTTTATTTACTTGTAAATTTCCACATAATGCATTATAAGCTCATGTAAATGCGATACTTCTTGTGCAATACAATACTAATTGCATATGAAGGTATTTAATGCGCAATTTTAAATGTCTGGTCAAAAGAAACTTTTTGTTTAGATTTACAGTTTATAGATTATATGTTAGTTTATTATTTAATGAAAAATGTACTAATTTTTACTGTTTAATCCAGGTTTGCGAGGAACAAGGATGCCAAGAAGAAGTCTACTCCCTAGCAATGAACTATATGGACCGATTCCTATGCGTTTGCTCCATCCAAAGGACACAATTACAACTTTTAGGATCTGCCTGCCTTCTTTTGGCCTCCAAATTACGTGAACCTAGCTCACGAGGACTGCCTCCAGATGTACTAGTCTTTTATACTGAAAATAGTATAACTCTGAGGGACCTAATTGTAAGTAAATCTTAAAAATTATACAAGTAATTGCAATGATCATATTGGCACCATGCAAGTGTTTTATACCAGGAATGACTTGAACTTTCGAGTAGCATTTAAATTTCCAAGTAACGAAGTAGTTATTTAAACTAGAGCATCGATTTCTCGATAACAGTTTAAAGCACAGATTAGTTTTAATATGCAGAACCTTTATCAGAGTAAGGATTCTGTGTAACTGTTGAGCCATAAAGATATGGATAGTGCACATAAGTCTAATCTTTTGTTTGCGGAAATACACTGTTTGGAAGTTAGAACAATGTGATAATCTAACCAATAACAAATCGAACGATAATGCTTAAGTTTTAATACTCAAAACAAAAATAGAGTGCCCTAGTAATTTATTTATGATTTTAACAAAACACTACTAACACAGTGACTTGTAACAATAGCATTGTGATAAGGAAACAGGGAAGTGAATTGTTAGTGTAAACTGTGATAGGAGCGATTGGTCATTATTAATTTATGACCGAAATAATTTTTTTAAGCTTGCAAAGCTTGTTGGATTTGATAATTTGATAATATAGTCACCTATGAAAATATATTAAGGAATTCGTTATGATATGAATTTTAAATATCCCCTTCAGTCGTGCAGCTATGGTCATTTTCACAATGGGCATGATTCGTATTCGAATCACAGCGATTTTATTGGTGTTTTTATGCATTTCGTTTAATCGTAAACAAATCACGTTGCAATATTTGCGTGATGATATTCTTCGACTGTTGATTTCACTGAAAATGACAATGTCATCGGTGCATTTACATCGGCTGAGACTGGCTGGTCTTCTTCAATTGACCGGCCAAGTTCACTATCACTGTGTCAAGTTGTTAGCGACATGACACTGATCTCTTAAATAGACGCACTCTTGTTTGTCTCGTTGAAAAAATCATGAAATAGATGGTCGAGGAACTAGATTTTGTACGATTGTAATTGTAATTAGATTTTATCAAAAAAAAAAAATTAATTCCAAATATATATATAGAAGGTGTCCCAGAACTCAACGTTAAAAAAAGTAATACCAAATATATATGCAGGGTATCCCAGAACTCAACGTCAAACCGAAACTGGGTGATACTTTTGATATTAACTACCATGAAAAAATTTAGAAAAAAGATTTATTTGGTGTAGTTTGAAAATTATGAGCTTTCAAGTACACTGGAGCTTTTGCTCAAACTCTGAACATTTTTCAGTTATTGTCATTAATTTTTATTATTTTTTATTTTGTATTTAACCGTAATCTACATTTTTAGAACCACTGTCAAAAACAATTACACAAATGCCCAAAGTTTTCTTGGGGTAATACTTTGATAGTAACTACTATGAAAAAATTTAAAAAAAAGATTTATCAGCTGTAATTTGAAAATTATGAGCTTTTATGAACACTAGAGCTTTTGGTCAAGCTGTGAACATTTTTTGGTTATTGTAATTATTGTTTATTATTTTTTTTTAAATTACACTTGAAATTACAATCGCGAAGTTTTGATGGAACTTATCAAAACACTTCAATGCATTTTTTTTTAAATTTTCAATAAAGTCGATTAAATTTTGATGTTTTTTGGACAAATAGTCTAAAAAATTTGGCTATTGTGTCATTATTTACGTTTAAATGAACAAAAATAAGAAAAATTAATCACTATATTTGAAAAATGTTCCTAGTTTGACTAAAGCTCTAGCCTGACTTAAAGTTCATAATTTTCAAAATACACCTGATAATTTTTTTAAAAATATTGTATTATTGTTACTACCAATACTTGTTTCGGCCTGACGTTGAGTTCTGGGACACCTTGTATATATATGTACTTTATACGATGATTTCTTGAGCTTCTAGACTAGAATACACCTTTATATTTTATATAGGCTAAAGTTTTACCTCATGGTTTATTTTGCAGTATCCACATACTTATTCACATGTAATGATGTTCAAAATGATTTGTAGGTAGTTAAAACTGTATTGGTGATATGAATAATTTTATTAAATTATCACTATAAATTCTATCAAAAGCTAAATTTTATTTTACCTAATTGAATCATTTTAGAGTCATCTCTAACCTGCTGCGGCTATCGCAGAATAAAATATATATTTATTAGTTGACTCATATTCAGTAAATTCTTTAAATATAACCCATAAATTGCCATATTGACGTTGAGTTCTGGGACACCCTGTTCATAATACATGTAAATTTAAATAAAATATTTAGTTTAATAAAATATATTGTAATTGCATGTAGAAAGTTAATAGTCCCAAAAAACTCATACTAGCAATAAAAAAAATCTTATACGGAGCAGTCATACATAAAAATGATCTATGCCTACGTGTTAATCGTTGTTTCATTCCATATCTGGGTAATTTCCTCTACTCAAGATTTACTCATTACTATTAGGTCAAGATCTGTTACCAGGTGATACAAATCTGTTACTGTTGCACATGCAACAGGATTCTCTTACCAAGAAAGTGTTTAGGCACGCGCGTGCGTCTTCGGCCGCGTCGCATCGCCCGCATCGGTCGCCTCGACACATTTTCGCCTTCGCCGGACCAGGCCGCGTTGTCTAGAAGATGAATCTCGTGCTATTAGATACAACGCGGTATGGGATAGTATAGTGCTGTGAGCTGTGAGCCATGGGGCCATGATCAAAAACATCGGCCGTGAAATCGTTCACTGACCCAAACAACGCAACAAACGATCTTCAAAAAAGATCGCTGCGTTCTTTTTCGCAATATAACTATATTTACCGAACGCCCGTCATCGCTATGGCGGATAGACAAGTGGATCTGCATACCTAAGACGTGTTTTAATGGAGAGAAATACTGAGGCGTATTATAACATCAGAATTTAACTGGTAATAAATTGATAGCTATATGACCACATTTTGCTTAAAATGAGAGGGAACATCAAATTTTGCCAAAGTCACCAAAGCGATCACCAATTTCATTGCATATATGCTCAATTTTTTATCACTATAAGGGGTTGTTATAATCTAGAAGTAATAAATTTATAGCTATACTAGAATTTTTCTAAAATAGTAAAAATCAAAAGCTGTGAAGTCGTGAGTATTGTATAAAAAAAGACAGTTACAAGAAAAATGCGTTTAAAGTTTTGGGTAAATATTTCTTAAAGAAATAGTAGATAGAGAATATTTTGAAGAGTTTTTTTAATAAATATTTGAATAGTTAAACCTTGAAAAAATCGAAACAAATGTATTTCCTGAGCTTTCAGCCTAAAACTTTTATTTTTACCTTTATATTTTATATCAGTTAATATTTTGGGGAGAAAAAATCAGAGGAGAACAACCGTGGTCAAATAGCTATATCTCCGAAAATAATTTAAATTTTGAATTAAAATAATCCTATACTGCTCTAGATCAGGAACATCAAATTTATGCTAAAGTAATGCTATCATCAATTTCATTGTATCTATACTCAATTTTTAATCATGTTAAGGGGTTATATATATAGTTATATTATAGGGTTATATTATAGTTTATTTTTATATAAATTTTTTTTTCTCTATATTGGTCTTTAGTTTTTTCTTTTTTATATATTAACTATAGTAGATACACCACTGGGCGTATCTACTAATTTGTAAACAACCAATTGTAAACACTTGTCAGCATTCTCTGCTAAATATAATTATTTTTATAGATTGCAGAATGAAAATAAAATAAAAAAAAATGTTAAGGGGTTGTTCTAGTTTAGAGGCGATAAATTTACAGCTTTTTGATATACTAGAATTTTTCAAAAACAGTATAAATCATAAGTTGAGAAATCGTGGTTATTGTATCGAAATAGACAGCTACAATAAAAAATGCGTTTTTGGGAAAAAATCTCCGAAAATAATTTCAATTTTGAAGTTTTCTTGTACACTTATTTTTGAATTTAACTACCAATTTAACTAGAGTTTAATCCTTGAAAATATCGAAAAAATGTATTTCCTGAGGTTTCAGTCTAGAACTTTTATTTTCACCTTTATATATTATTCCTTTACTTATATATAATTCCTTTACCTTTATATGTTAAAGTTTCGGGGAGGAAAAATCAGAGAAAGTCCTCCGTCGTCATACAGCTATATTTCCGAAAATAATTTAAATTTTCAAAAATTCTCTTGTACACACATTTTTGAATAGTCTTGAAATCTTGAAAATATAGAAAACAAATCGATTTCTTGAGCTTCTAGACTAGTAATCACTTTTATATTTTATATCGGTTAAAGTTTTACCTCATGGTTTATTTTGTATTTTGCATATGTACTGATGTTCAAAATGATTCGTAGGTAGAAAAAATTGAATTAGTGCCATGATAAATGTTGATAAATTAAAAATTTTATATGTCCTAATTATATTATTTAAAGAATCATTTCCAACCATGTGGTGCAGCTATCGCAGAACAAAAATATATGTAATAGTTGACTCATATTCAGCAAAATCTCTAAATATAACCCATAATTTGCCATATTGCTATGCCAATAAACCGAGCATTAGATTGTAACATGATACGTTTTATATTATTTTCGCCAAACTCTGTATAATGGGATGCATTGCAAGTGATTGCTCATTTAATATGCGCAACAACAGCATTTTTTATTTCGAAATTTTAGTCCGGACTAATATGTGTTATTTTTTTATTCGTTTTGTTGTACCTGGGTGTTATACTGAACTTTGTTGCATTGGAAAAATATAAAGCATAATTTGGTAAAATTCCAGATTAGTGAAATAAATTAAATGATAAAATGATAAAAAATGATACTTTTAAGTATTCTTCTAGCGCTGTTTAAGTACGTTTAATAATGATTCTTATTATTTTACGAAAGACAATGTAAATATTATTTCACGTATATAGAGACAGACAAAAATATTTTTGAAACAATGTATTCATCCAATGACATTCGGTATACTAAACATGTACAGCACGGTTATTTAAACTTTAAATGCCATCATCTCTCGAAACGCGTTGTATTATCTATCT